AGGCGATCGATGGTCTGCTCTTTTGCTCTCAATGCCGAGTCGGTCGCCCGGCTGTTAAACAATTCAGTCTACTACACCTTCCGAACGTCCTTTGCTTCTACCTCAAGGTGAGTGTGTGTATGTGTGCTTTTGCTAAAAGTGCCTGGGAGTAGTAGCAGGAGCATATTGGAAAATCGTACTAGATTGATCTGCAGAGCCTATCGCTATGCAACAAATCAACCTCTACCCTTCATTTCATTCTCGTAGCGTACAGACTGAGTTGCCGAGACAATGGTTTTGACTTGCTAACACCCTTTCTGTAGCTGATTTGTTAGAGCACACTGGTTTCTACTGTAGCCTTTTAATTTCGTAAAAAGTCGTTTCCTAACTTGGCGAAGATCGTTATATCTTTCATGGTATACAGGCGCAAATCGAAATTTATTATGAATATTTGGGTTGAACTTTATCAGCCGGTGCAGGGTAATATTCAGGAGCTGACAACAGGCAACAAGCAGTATAAAGTACGTAATTATTTACCATTCTGGCGGCACAGGTACTAGCCCGGACACGCGTGCTTCGCTGATATGCTGTCGCTGCATGACACAAAAACGATGGGTTCGGCTCATCGGTGGATTCCTCAGTATTTCTTGTGTGCTTTCTGTTTGATGCTCCAATTGGAACATGCAGCTTTTAATTTTCTCAGTACTTAATTTCTAGCTTGGATTGGGGCGCTAAATTCAAGGGTCTTTATTCAGGGAGGAAGGTTGTTAACTTTAAATCAGTCGACGAATGTGACTAGTGACTGTTTCTCCTTCTTGTAAGAATTTTTTGGTTGCTCCATTATTTCATGTGTCTCGCTGTCGCCCTATTAAGAGCATTTTGGGACAAAAACGCAACGTGATGTCCAACTGAAAACAATACTCATAACTATCTACTTATATTATGTAAATAGTAGCCTCGGCACGGATCATTGCGGTCATTTGGTTTAAGTAGTTACTGACTCAGAGTTAGCGCTACCGCGTTGGTTTCTTTTACGGCCATGCCTTAGGTGGCAACACGTGCCGGCTATACCCATGGGACAAACACGCTTCCTGAGTCTGTAAGGAGGTTTTCCAGTCATTGATATTTTAGCGCTCTAGTCCTTCACACTTGCTATTTGGGTGTTTTTAGCCATAGTTTTCAAACTCAAAAATTATTTAAACAATTTTTTCCCACAATACGCACTTTTTGATATTAGTCTTTTATCGCGTACCCCGATCTACCCGTAAATCTCCTATTATCAACGGTCCCGTATTACAATCAGACCTGTTCTTTGTTTTTTTGCCTATTTTTTTCACCAAGTATTTCACTACGATTTATTCAGTACGCCTGTTCTTTTTCTTCTGTTTCTAGCGGTGTCACCATGATACCAAAATAACCACTTCCATCAACTTCCCCGTGGAGTTGGATATTACTCCTTTTGTGGCTCAGTTTTCGAACTCCAAGTCATCCTGGCAAGACCGGTAAGCACGAAAGGTGTTTTCGTCTTTTTTTCACTATTCAACTAACATCTAATAGAAGACGCTGTCGCTGGTTACTTTGGTGATGGGGGACTAGGGTGGCTATTTCAGACTTAATGGGCGTCACCAGCCAGCCCCATCCAATCCAGGGCTCCCGTGATCTGAGAGCTGAACTCGAATCGTGTGGACGATGAGCATTTTTAATTCAATGCTCTACCATTGAGCTCTGGGCCGTTGTCCCGTCGGATACACAGACACAGGCATTATGCTACTCGTGCTAAATGAGTAGTTATGTTTTATCACGATTTAGACTAAACAACAACTGCCCTGTTTTCTCCTGTGAGCATGTAATTGACGCACCTTTTTCAATTTTTCTTCCTATCCGTATATTTCCTAGCATAGTGCTACCAATAGGGACGTGTGTTTGTGTGTCGTAGCCCATTGTTGGATCAGGAGTCCCCTCCGGAATCCAAACTGGGAGTAGTTGGGAAACAGAGAAAAGCCGAGACCTCAACCGGCTTGAGTCATAGGTCCGCGGTAGTGAGTTGGGTGTCTG